TGCTTTCTTGTTAAGTGTGCCTCCGTGGACACCTTCCTTTCCCATGACTATAACCAATGCTGGAGTACACAAGGAAACAAAACAAAAGTGAACAGAATTATTTAAGGAGGGGAGGGCAGAAAGAAAGACACCTTTCCCCACCAACAGAGGGATACAAAGGAGACACAGGTTCATACCCCATCACCCTGCATTGCTAATAAAATTTCCAGAATTAAGACTTAAGCTTACAGCTAGGAAAGTTTAAGAGCAATTTTCCCCTAATACTTAACAGTCTGCCTAGCAGCTAGAACCCAGAGTCTCTCAAGTATTTTGCCATTGAGTATGCCTTCTTATTCAATCCGCCTCCATGGACCCCTTCTTTTCCCATTACAAAGACCAAGACTGAAAGAGAAAGAAGAAAAGTGTTTCAAAAGAAGTGTTAATCAAGAAAGTCACATAAGTTTTAGCAGACAGAACCCCGATTAATAAGTTAACATTAAGTTAGTTTTCCATGAACTGCAAATCACTGAAGTCAATTAGGTCTCCAAAAAGAACCCTCAAACAAGTAATATACTAAACAGAAAATAATAAATGTGACTGCATCTTGGAAGCCACCATCAATGCAAGCAAAAGTTCTATACAACTATCTTTACACTAACTAGAGAGAAAAAAAAAAGTGATCATTTGTCTTCTATTTTAGGGCAAAAATATTCTGGCTGATACGACAAGTACATGTCATTACTTGCCCCAAAAATATAAACTTAGGAAACTTGGTGAGTTATTTACTTACAAACTCCCCAAATTTTAACATGCTTGATAAGTATAAACTATTAAGTTTTACCAGTGAGGCTAAATGTGTCTGTTATTTCCAAAGGAAAATGAAGATCTAATTTTAAGTAGCATATTCAGTATCATTCAGAAAAGGCCAAATTAAATGTATTTAAGGTGTGTGCTTACTGATAACTTTACCATACTAGCCTTTTTTTAATTGCGTTCTAAAAAAATAGGTTTACGATTTCTAATTGCTCTTCTATGATGCAATTCAAAGGTCTATAATCCAAAATATATGTATATGTCAAATTTTATATTCACTACCACTAGATGTCAGTAGTGCTGTATGGTATAAAATATTCTGGTTTCTTGCGTTGGACGCTTTTTAGCATATTTATCTTTGAGTGCAGCTAAGGTTTAAAGAGATTTGTCACTATTTCAAAGTCATCTAATTTTCTTATAGATAAATATTTATAAACATCAACTCACACCAGAATAAGAGTAACTTTTAGGATAATCACAGGGAGCTGGTAGAACCAGAGCATTAAATTACAACTCAGAGCAGCTTTAAGTCCTCTCATATGATAGAGCTGTTATTAAAATTAGATGTGCCAAGTCAGCTATGGGAGGCTACAGAAGCACTCTCTATTTACAACATATTCATATGCATTAACATATTTAAATGTATTTGTAAATCAATTAGATGTCATAACCTCAATTTCAGAAGTTTATTTTGAAAAAGTAGGGAGACTTCTTTAGTGCAATTAAGAGTTTCTATAATGTTGACAACAATCTGGAGACACCTGAATTTTTGGACCAAGTATACAAACTAAATGTAATTTCCTACTTTTCAAATCTAAGTCCCAGACACACAATCTTTGAAAATATTTCAGTGGACAACTTACTCCAAAATTCTCATCTAATTATTTATCTCTTCCCCAGCAAAGTTCCTAACTGAGAACTGATGTTAATTGTTCCTTCTTTATGCTGAGTAGTGAAATGGTTAGAATACAAACAAGAAAAAAAAGGAGAGAGATCCAAAAGTCAAACAGGCACTGAAACGGACTAAAATAACCAAGTGATTCCAACAATTTAACAATCTGAAACACCACAGGATTATCATTTGACATTTCAAGCAGTTTAAGAGACTTTTAAGTTTAATAAAGGTGAAAGTGAGTTGATATGAATATTCTTAGAACAAAATCAGGATCTAAGAGGTCAGGTTGTAAAATGCTTAGAGTGCTTCACAGTGCTGAGCAGTTCACAAAAACCACCTTAATAGCCATTATGGACTAACTTTTAATCAAAATGTTAAAAGAAACTGCTTAGTAAGTTGTAATGTGGCATGCAACTTTTAACCAAAAGAATACCTTACTTACCTCTACCAGCTCTGCCGACAGCAACATTGTATGTTGGCTCCCCACCTTGACTCTTTGTCCGGATGTCCATTGTGCAGTCACCATCGACGTATAGACTATCCCTGATCACTGAGCATTTCTTCGCGCCAAGAGTCAAACCGTTGGTAAAGAAACCTTCCCGGTCTTTTCCTACAATCATATCTATTTCTATTGGCTGTCCCCCACCAAAAAGAAAAAAGAAATGGAAGTTGTAGTTAATTCCTTTCAGGGCTTGATGTAAAGGAAAGGCTGTGTGCTAAGCTTATACCACCGCGAGACAGCCACATTCATGTAAAACCAAGATTCAGTCTTTTCTAAAGAATTACTTAATCTGATATGATTACATGTTTTACATCATTTGATTTGACTTCAGTTATCGGTGTCAGCTCCTAACCAAGACCAGTCTATACAAAGAAACTCTAAATAGTTGACACTAGACAAAGTGCAAACTTAGGAGTTATTTATAAACTGTATTAAGTCAACTGAAAGTGTTCACGTAACCGTAAAAATTCAGCCATCAACTCTGAACACAGATGGTCTATCATATTCAGTCACATTACAGTCAATCATGTTTCATCAAATTTAAAGTTGCCTCAAAGTCTACCGAAATAAAGCCTGTTCTTTGATTGTTCACTTCTCTGCTTGGAATAGCTAGAAATATCCTTGATGATATTATGGACGTCAATCCCTAGACATCAGTGCTTTTCCAATTCATATTTCCCTCCTGTTTTTCTAGCCACAACTCCCGTTTCTTTCCAACTTCCCTTCCCCTCCCATCTCAGTAATCATTTTCTTTCTGGGGAAATGCAAAGTGGATTCCACCTACAGCAATAAGCTACAGAAACAGAGAAAATGGAGGGAGATTGGGAAAGAAACTGAGGTAGGCACCAGAACCGGAAAGGAGAAAACGTGCATTCTAACATTCCATGAATAAGAAGGAAGGCGTCGCCCCCATCAGAACTGCAGAGTCATAGCAGGCCCCAGCCATTTCCAAGCACACTCCAGCAATCTTCCTAGTCAGACAGCGGGAACTCACACACAAAGACAAGAGAACCGCAGGAAAAAAGTTGATGACCAGATGCCAATTCCCTACAAGAATTGTAGTCCACTGCGGGTATTCGAAACCTTAAAGTACTATTATCAAGTACTGAGTTCTAAAGTTAGACTTTAAACCATGTTAAGTGGTAAAAGAATAACTAGCACCCGTAATAGGGGACCTGACTGTTGGGGTTTAAGGGAAAAGCTTGGTGCTAAGCAATTAAGGAAATGGTCTCATATTTAATACAATTATCACAATTTTAGAAACAGCCTTGGGCAGAAATAGGCAAAACAATAAGCTGGAGGCTTAGTGTCAAATATTCCCCAAACATATTGCAACCAAGTCAAAACCATCAAGTCTCAAGAAAATCAGGCAATGTGAAGCATAAATCTGCATTAGTTCCTTTACTACCACCACTAAAGAGGGAGGGACTTGGAGAAGTGAAGTGTCCTTCTGGTCTTCGCAATTATTGAAAGCCCCCGAAAAGCACCCCTCTTTTGAGCTATGTTGCGTAACTGGGGATAACCGTATATCGATGAATCTCCATATGAGAAGGAGAGAAATCAATGGCAGTTCGCCATCTTGGAGAATTAAAAAAAAAAAAAAAAACCTATAGAGCTAGAGCTGAAGTCGAGATTCACGAATCCACCTACGCGGTAGGCGTACATCTCTCGCAAGCCCCAGAGGCCTGGACACCCGCAAACCTACGCAAAGTCGCTTCGAGAATCCCGGGGGCCGGACCGGGGCCGCCGCCTCCAACAGCCAGAGGCGCGGGCGGCGCGCTGTCCGCGGAGCAAGAGGCGGCCAGAGAGCCTGGGTACCTCCACCCGGGGCCCGCGCTCCTCAGCTTGGATCCCCGACCCTCGCTTCCACCTCTGGACGTGCATAGTAAACCTCAAGGCTTCAACAGAACCTTAGGGGAACCACACTAGGCGGAAAAAAGGAACCCCTACCCTAGCCCTGGCCGGTGCGTGCCCCCTCCCCCAACCCGGGCACCTGGACTGACGCTGAGAATGCCTGGGGCGCCCGACCCGGGCCGGCGAGGAGTCCGGCCGCCGCCCCCCGCCCGTCAGCGCAGCCCCAGGCGAGGGGGCGTCCCCGGGCTTCGGCCTCCCAGCCCGCCCGGCAACCGCATCCTCAGCGCCTGCTGCCTCGCACACCTGCGGGCTCGACCCTCCATGTTGCGGCGCACCCGAGGCCGGCCAACCCCGCTCCGGTGCAGGGACCAGGGTCCCGGCCGCCACTGGTCCTCACCGTAATGCTCTGAAAGACGCCCCCGGCCGTGGCTGCCCAGACGTATTTGGCGTCGCAGTAGCCGACAATGGCGGCCTCCTGGCAGCAGCCATCGCACATCAGGTTATCCACGTAGCTCTGCCAACCGGCCATCTTCGAGCCCTTCGCACTGCAGCGGGGACGGCGAGGAGCAGCAGGCGCAGCGGCGGCGGCGGCGGTAGCGGGCGGCGGCGGCAGCACAGGGGGGAGGCGGGGCGGGGGCGGGGAGGAGGCGGCTCTGCGCAGGCACCGACCGCCCCCCTCCCCGAAGAGCTGAGGAGGGAGGACGCGGGTACAGCGGTGAGGGGCGAGCCTCAGAGCGCGCCCGGCCGCCCGGCCGCCCGCAGCCGCGGGGCTGACCACCCAGCAGCGGGAGGCTGTGGAGCTGCTGTGCCCGCGGCGGCGGCGGCGGCGGCTGCTGTTCCTAACCGCAGCGCCCTCCGTTCTCCGCGGACACGGCGAGGCGTGCGCGCGCGTGCGTGTGATCCTTCCGCGGCGCCCGGGCACGGAGGGTCCCGGGAAGGGCGGGGAGAGACTGAGGCGGGGGCGCGGAGGGATACCGCCCCGGGACAATCACGGCCGCCACGTGCGGGAAGCGCCGGGCGCCGTGGCGTTGCAGGGGATGGCTGAGCCTCGGACCTCGGTTCGCGGAGTAGGTGGCTCCCGCGTCGCTCTCAGCACCCCAGGAACAGCGGTGGCAGAGACGACTTGAAGCCCCGCAGCAGGGCTGCGAAGCGCTTTTCTCTTGTATGCGCTGCCCAAGATACGGAATCTTGAGGTGTCGGATTGCAGAGTTGCCCTGGTGACGGGATGCGGAGCGTTTCCTCTTCTTTGTGGTGGGGGCGGCTGGTGGCAGGGTCGCCCACGGTAATCTCCAAGTCCCTAAGGGCACCCTCTTTCCTGGACCCGTTTTGCGCCTCGGCCATAAACGCAGCCCCGCAGGCGCACTCCGGAAATCTGAAATCAGAGCTGGCGTCCGTGGCGCTCAGGAACCTTGCTGAGCTTCGCGGATCTTTCATTGTTGCCTCATTTGGGTACCAGGGGCCTCGCATTCTGCGGATTGTTTGCCTGGAAGAGCCCCCTTAAAGTTGCTAATCACGTGTGTGGTTAAATGGCTCGTAAATTCCGAACAAAACAAATAGCAACCTGTGTTAACTGTTTCATGGTAACTGGGAAAGTTACTGGTGGCTTGAAGTACACGCAGAAAATGCAAAGGGAAAAACTAGGGAAGAGTTCACTGAATGAACATCATAACATTTCTGCTCTGCAGGGTAAAATAATTTCGGGACCCAGATCTGGGAAATATTTGTATTAACAAAGGTAAAAGGTGGGTAAAGTAGCTGAGAAGCTATTCGTATCATCTTTGGTAGCCTGTGGACACTAGGACTAGACGTGGAATTAGGAGTTCCCCAAGGACTTCAATTTTAGGTTAAAAGAAACCATCTGCCACTTAAGGGAAAGAAAGCACCAAAACGTCCATAGGTAGATGTTCACTGTTTAAAGTTATCGTGTAAGGTCGCGATTTGTAAGAGGATTAAGGAATGTATCTCTAGAAAAGACAAGAACGTTGCTTTAAAAAGTCTTTAATTGGTTCTGAAATTTTATGTTTTTTCTGCTGACTCCGTTGCAATGTTCAGCTACTGGAGAAAGAAAAAAACAGTACAGTAAAAGAACCCCAAGTCAGAGACCGATCAGACAGAGACTGTGTGTTTTCTCATGTTCTAAAGATACAGAATACCTGTGTGGTATAAAATGTGAGCCCAAAATTGTTTCTTTTTTGTACATGTGTGTCCCACCTGATTTAATTACACTTAATTGTTCTTGTTTTTGACTCGGCCTTTTGTGGTGGGTGTTGATCATTTTAGTCCTTTGATCATGGCATTGTATTATCTCAAAAGTTAATAGATTATTTGTAACACAGATATGCTATGTGAGAATTCATCAAGCTGTACATTTATGCTTGTGTTCTTCACTGTAAGTATAATTCAACAAATTGAAACAGTAAACAAGGTAGTGATAGAAAAAATAAAGTGATGATAATGAAGTATGTTGAATTTTTATTAATTTACTCTTAAGGTTTTAAGATATAATTTCTAGACATCATTAATTGTTATAGCACAGAGCCGGAAATAACTACATTCTTTTCCTGTTCTTTTATTGTTGGCTTTAAACAGTGAAAGGGTTTGACCAACAGTATTTTCGAATTCACAAGATTCTAAAACACATTTATTGGGTAAAATATTCACGAAAATTTAGAATTCCTGTCATTTTTCTATATTTTTCTAAATAATACATTTTAAATTACTGTTTACTTTTCCAACATGTTATTCTTCCAGAATTTCAAACAGTAAAATTTAAACAACTATGAACAAATATATTCTGTAGAATAGATTAAATTTTACAGTTTCAATTTTTAGGTCATATATTCAAAAAGAGTCCATTTGCTGTCTTGCTTTTCGATACTATGATAAAGTAATCTGTGATTGTTTTCTTTAGAACCAGCTTCCTGCTTTATATTCCATTTGTGTACAGTGATTTTCTATTTCATCTAACTGTTGCTTATCACACATTTCAGAAAGTATAGATAGAGGTAGAATACTGAGCTTTAGTAATAACAACATTGGTTTACTTAAGTCCAAAGGAGTATCAGTGTGAGAAAAAGAATTACCAATTTGTATATTTATCTACTTTTTTGACGGTAACTAATCCCTAGGGTAATCATTGTAATATCTGGGCAGAAGTCTAAAAAGTTGTAGCTGTGTTGTTGATACAAATATCCAGACTAATGCCATTAACAATCAATAGCATATTTAAGTTTGGAATGCATTATTATGCATTCTTTCCAGAATGCTTTTATTTTAGTACAGCAGAAACTGTAGTAAGCCACATTCTTTAATGTGTAAGTCAAGTGGTGTCTGAACCACTTGAGTCCATGTAAAAACCATTTGAAATTTTAGCAAAACACAAACAAGAAATTATCTTTAAAATGTATACAACCTACAAACCACAGTGCTTCCATTATTCATGTAAAAAAAAGAAAAAGAAAATGTATACAACCTGATAAACATCAGGGGCAGGATCTGAAACTATAGACCGTAAATACCCCCAAATTTAGTAAAACCACAGTTAGCCCTCAGCTATCTAAAAATTTCACTTGCATACTTCATTTTTGAAAAAGGTACATTATCACAGCAGTAAACTTAGAAAATGGAGAAAAATCATCCTTAATCCCACAAGCTAATACAATGTTATCTTTTGAATGTATTCACTGTTTTATTTATGATTTTTACAGTAAAGCAAAAGGAGTACCTATAATTCTCCATTTGGAGAATTCTCCATTCCTGAAATTCTATGAATTTTTCCTATTTTATTTTGAGGCTATTAGGAAAATGGAAGTTTAAATTGTTATATTTTTTCCTTTCCGATGAATTTATTCTTACCATTTAGTAGTTGCCCTCTCTCTCACCAATACTGCTTTTTGTCTTAAAATTTATTTTGTCAAATATTAAGGTAACGTCCCAGCTCCCCAACCCTTCTTTCACCTTTGTCTGTCCTTACATTTTCTTTATGTCTCATAAGCTTCACATAGCTGGATTTTTTTTCCAATATGGCAATATAACCTTTAATTGGCAAGTTTATTCCATTTACATTCATTGTAATTACTGACATATATTTTGACTTGTTTGAACTAATTTTATTAGTCTTATTTTTTTCTATGCTTCTTTTTTCATCCTTGCCTTTAAAAAATGTGGGGTGTTTTATTTTTCCATATTTTTTTTTCAAATTTATACTATCAATTTCTGTTCTTTTAGTATTACCCTTAAATTTTTGCCTTGCATGTTTAATACAATAAAGTTTTAAGTTCAGTATCTTAAAACCTCCCCCGAGACAATCCAAGGACCTCAGAATGTTTTAAATCTGGACATCTCTGTTCACACTATTTTACACAGATGTTTGTGTATGTGTGTAGATATATGTACTTACATGTTTGTATTTTACTATTCCTTTTCATATCTCAGATCATCATTCTATGATCATTTTTCTTTCTAAAGTACATCTCTTAGAAGTTCCTTTAATAGAGGTCTCTTGGTGATAAACTTTTGTTTCTCTGAAAATGTCTTATATCACTTTCATCTTCCAACAATGGGATGGATCTACAATGCAAAATAGACACTTTGAAGATGTTATTCCATTTCATTCTGGTTTTTGGCATTGCTGTTGTGCCATTATGGATGATTTGTCTCTTTTCCTCTGGCTACTTTGGAACCTTTTTGTGTTTGCTTTTCTACAGGTTCACTATGATGTGTTTACATTTGGGTTACTTTTTCTTAGAAAAATAGATTTGTATCTGCATTACTTCTGTAAAATTATCAATCACTATGTATTCAATTATTCCTTTTACTCAGTTCTCTCTGCTGTCTTAGAAGTCAGAATACGTATGTTTCTCTTTCCTCTTCTGTTCTGCGTATCTCTTCTTTCATCTTTTTTATCTTCTTACTCCTCTCTGTGCTCTGTTCTGGGTAATTTCCTCAGCTGTTTACTCCAGATCACTGTTCAACTATGTTTCATCTGTTGTTAAACCCATACATTGAGGTTTTTTAATTTCTGAAAGTCTATTTTTCATTTTAGAAGTTCCATTTTATTGTTATGCCTATCTTCCCAGCTATTCCTGATACTCTTGGATTCTTTCTCCATCTTTGTGGTTTCACACTTCATTCTTTAAATGTTTCTTACCTACTTATTCTGTACTCTGTATTTGTATCTGACAATTCCAGTATCTAAACAAGTCGTGTGTTTTTCCTAATCTATCTCACCCATAAGGGCTTGTCTCCTTGTATACTTGGTTATCTTAAAGATTGTGAATGATATTTCCTTGCTCTTAATATGTGGGAAATCTAATGGCCTAAATTGAGGACATTTTTCTTCAGAAACGGTTGTATCTGCTTCTACTATATGTCCAAGGTACTAGCAACCTGGGGGCACTTTCATCCTCTCTGTGGCGCCCCCAAATGCAGGAGCATCTGGTTCGGCTCCTCACAGAGCTGCCATTGGCATTTGCACTCAGACTAGACCTGTTTTTCCTGCTTACATACAGACTTCAGCACCGCTTTCTGCTCAAGATTTGCTTCTTTATTTGGCAGGAAAAGGAAGTTTTGAAGATTTTTCTAATAATTTCTGTATGAGGATTTCAGTTGCTCCACATCTGCACCAACACTTTATATTTTGTGTCTTTTTCCTTTTAAATATTTTGTTAGGTGTATTATTGTATTTAATTATGGATTTAATTTGTGTATTTCCAATGACAAAGGTGAACATATTTATGTTGTCATTAGTCATTTAGATACTTTTGTGAAGTGCCTGTGCAAATCTTCTGCTACACATTTTTCATTGTTAATGACTGTGCAGTTGTCCATCAAGTGGCTGTATCAGAAGTTATCATTTCTTATTGAAATATCACGTACGTTGAGAAACAATAACCAAAAGAAAACTTCATTATGACCTATGTGGTGAGCTTTGAACTGTGTGGAAATGGATAAAATACATTCTTTTAAATGTCTAATGACAAGATTTAAAATATGAAGTGTGGCACTTAATTCAGTTAGTCAAATGTGATAGACACTGCTGGTTTGTCTATCCAGTATGTACTCTTCTTCCTTATAACAGAATCATGAATTTGATTCAGACAATAGTAAATAATTTAATATACCTCCATAAATGCCCTTCCAACTAGGGTGGTCTAGTCCACTGGCCAATAAACTACATCAAAAGTTACTTCATGGAAAGCTATTTTTTTCCTTGATATCTACATCTTTCTGTAAAGATCTGCTCAGCTGGCATAAGCTTTCTACTTTTAACCTGTCTTTTCTCTTGTCCAGATTGTGATTCATGTCAAAGTGGAGCAGTCATTTGTAAGTGCTGAGCATTGTGGAGCAGGAGGGGTAAGGGGCATGTTTCCTCAAGTGCCTTCCGTATCCATATATTTCCTACCGCAGCCTCTTGTTATATTGGATAAACTCCTTACTTGGTTAAATTACTGTAATCAGCCTCTGCTAAGTGCAACCAGACCCTGCTTTGTCCAGAGTATCCATTTTGCTGTCCCACCTCAAGTCTCTAAGCATTCAGGTTTATCCAGTTTTGCTTTTCCATAATGAGTTAAGCTCTTGAGGAAATGCTTTACAATTATTGCATCCCTATTGTAATAATGACTGAATTAGCCATATCATAGAAAATGGCTCTACTGTTTTTTTGCAATAATAAATAGTGCCCTAGAGGCTTCAGGGATTTCTTGTACTTCCCTAAATGTCACACTAGCTGGTAGAAAATTCCTTATGAGTTTTGACTCATTTTTTTTGATTTGATGCAGAAAAGAGAATTCTGGAAACACATGTTGAGCATTTCATTCCAAGAAAGTTACACGTGAACTTGAGAGATGGTTTTGTTGTTGTTGTTTTGTTTTTTGTAGAATTCCAAGGGTAAAGGCACAAAGCCTATAAAAACACTGGCCACCTTGTTATCTGACATGTGAGAGAAATGCAGGCAATCCATCAAAACACCCCCCCAAAGAGATTGCATGTCTAATTTTTCTTCATCTCAGTCCCAGAAGACAAGTAATAAAATTTAATTAAGTAGCTGTTTTCCTCCCAAAAAAACTATTAAATTAGGCTTTTAAAATCTTTTGTTTTTATCCAATGAAACTCAGCTATCATTTCTGGGGACAATTCTTTCTGGGTTCACAAACATCTAGATAGAGAACTTAAAAAAATGTAAATTGAACAATGGCTGCATTGCATTTATAAGCATTTTAAAAGTGAATCTCAAATATATAGATGTCTAAATCATTTGATAATGTAAACACCACCACCATCTTAAGCACCCCCATTCTTACTAAGAAACTTACATTAAGTGGCTAATTATGCACATACTAAGACTATCAAAGACCATGTTGATGCTTTATCCCACTTTACAATTTCAGGCTGATCCAGACTCATAATATGAATAGAGGTACATTGACCAAAGAGACAAGCAGAGAACGAAAGCATAAACAAACATGAGAGTAGGCTAACTTTACCACCTTGAGGTCAAAAGTAAGTGTTTTTAGAAGTGAGTGAGTAACAAGATGAAGTAGATAATGAAGGTGATATTCAAGACTGTTAATAACTGGAATTCCAAATAGAATCCAGGGAGGTTCAAGTGAAACACGTTCAATTCCTTTATATTGTAGAGATTAGACTTGATGACTTATGTGGCTCTGCTTTAAAGACCTCTTTAACAAAATATTTAATTTGAACAATTTATTTGCTATTGATTCTTTTAGTGGATAGTAGATATTCCTTGTAATATTAACATTTTTCAAATCATATAACAAGTATTGAGCTCTTGCTACAGCTGTACTTGTTGGTATGTACTAAGGATATTATTTATTAAAAAGGTCCTTGCCCTCTGATTTAAAATCAGGCAGGAAAGCAATGCATGCAAAGCACTTAA